CTTTCTGTGACTGCATTGATTTGTTTCCTGAGGCTGCCATGACAAAGGGCCACAAACTGGGTGGCTCACAATACAGAGAAGGGTTCTCTCACAGTTCTGGAGGCCAGAGCCTGAAACCGAGCTGTCTGCAGGGCCGTGCTCCCTCCTGCGTCTCCAGGGGAGCATACTTCTCGTCCCTTCCAGCTGCTGGTAGCTCCAGGCACTTCTCGGCTTGTGACCACATTGCTCTGGTCCCTGACTCAGTCTTCCCCCAGCCTCCTCCTCTTCTTCGAGGACACCAGTGATGCTGGACCAGGGCCCCCCAATGACCTTGTCTTAAGTGGATCTCATCTACAAAGACCCTATTTCCAAATAAGGTCCCATTCACAGGGACCTGGTAGGACGTGGACATAGCTTTCTGGGGGACACAATTCAACCCCTAGCAGTGAGTTGCTCTCAATAGAAACGAAGCTTCTTCATCATTTCAGGTGAACTGCAGAAAAAGTAAGCCTAGTGGACGCAGGCAGATCCGTGTCTGGGCAGGAAGGAGAGAGGACCATGCAGAGAACAGAGGCACAGACCTCCGAGCCACCTCACCTCACAACTATGGTCCCCAGGGTGGGTGAACATTGGCCTTGATTGTCATTTTGTGTCATCGCTCCCTGGGGCTTGGCGGTGGCTTCACCTGTGGGCCCACCCGTCTCCTCTCGCACAAGCACCCCCTTGGCACATGTCGTCCTGTCTGCCGGCTGCTCTTTCCTCAGCCCCTCCATCTGGCTAACTCCTACCCATCCATCAAAACCCTCCCTTCAGAGAGCTTTCCCAGACCCCTGTCTCACCACTGCCCTCGGATGTGTTTGCCTTTCCGCGAGGCCCAGCTGTGTTCATCAGCCTCCTTTTCCGTCTGGCTTTAAGGACGCACCTTATTTAATTGCTTAATAAATAGTTCTGGATAAATAAGTGAATGAATGAATGAAACGCTTGATACACGAAATTATCAGTTAATAAAATACTTCCTTTTCTGGAAATGGAATCGTGGTTATTGGCAAGGAGTATAATAAATTGGGGCCTGGGCCGTGGCATCCACACCCTGAACATTCCCTGATCCCCATCCTTCCATTCATCATTCTAACCAACCTTCCAGCTACCACCGAGGCATAACAAAGCCCCCAAACCTAGGGGAGTAAAGCAACAGCCATTGCTCTATGCCTGCAGATTCTGGGGCTCAGGAATTTGGAAAGCATGCAGAGTGGATGCTCCTTCCTGCTCCATGAGGCTGGGCACTCACCTGGCAAGACTCAGAGGCTGAGGGAGACTCAGGGGCAGGGATCTCATCTGACGGCTTGTCAGCAAGAACACACCGATGTGGCCACCCCGTGTGGCTGCTTGGGCTTCCTCAAAGGATGGTGGCTGGGTTCCAACAGTGAATGGCTCAAGAGAGAAAAGCAGAAGTCCATGGCATTGTCATGATCCTGCCCCGGAAGCCCAGAGCCTGACTCTGTTGGTGGAGGCAGCCACAAGTTTCACGCAGGTTCAGTGGGAGGGGACACAGACCCCACTTCTCCATGCCAAGTCACAAAGGAAGGAGAATATGTGGGATTGGAGGTGGTGTGGGGGCATCTCTGGAAAATACGGTTGCCACACTAACTGCATCTTAAAGTATCTATTTAGAGCCATGAGCCCTAAGAATTTAACAGGTGTCTTGGAAAGTAAGCTATGTGTAGTTAGGGATCTCACTGGAAAACACAGAAATTCTAGAAGCAATTGGAATGGTAGTTAAATACCAAGGATGATATCCATTGAATTATACACATTTCCTTCTCAAATACAGAGAATCACTGATGTATTTCTATAGTTCATTAATGATGACTTTAATGTCTATGGATGGCTGTTTGATTTTATTTTTATTAATAAAATTATGGAGGTATGGTTAAATAAAAATATTATATATACCGTATACATATACACTCTTTTTAAAAGAGTTTAAAAATATAATATCAACAAATTGATGGTAGAAAAACATGTAAAAGATTTTTTTAGTTTTTCCCACATAACCAGAGTCCTACAAATTTCCTTTTCTTTCTTTATTTCTTTTCACCAAAAGTGAAATGACAAGTGGGTTTTTGTGAGTGTGTTTGTGGTTGTGTGTGTGTGAATGTGTGTGTAGCTGTGTGTATATGTGTATGGGCACATACGTTGTGTGCGTATGTATACGTGAACATGTGTTTGTGGTTGTGTGTGTGAATGTGTGTGTATGTGTATGGGCGCATAAGTTGTGTGTGTACATGTGTGTATGGTTGTGCATGTGCTGTAGCTGAGCCCTCAAGTGTTTCCCTTGTTCATATAATGGGTTTTTTTTTTACATTGCACTTGCTGGAATTTGCACACCTACTTTTCCTGCACTGACCACAGCAGAGGCCATCCCGTTATTAAGTGGAATTGATGGTGAAGTAGTCAGCCCTCAACCCTGTGCAGGTAGATTATCTGCTTTACGAACATCACCAGCAAATTGCTAATTACAGACCAGGGATGAAAACACAGTTCAGGTCTCTTCTAAGCAGAAACAGAATTACAAAGGTAAATCTGTTGATGAGGAAAGTAAAGAAAACTCAAAGTAAAAAACTCAAAACTAAAAACACTTAAAAAGTAAAAACTCAAAAGTAAAATGAAAGTAAAAAAAAAAAACTCGCATGCAGTCAAGTCTACTGGAAATTATTTAGATTAATTTACTTCCTTTAGTTTGGGTAATTTGGAGTTCAAGTCAACTTAACAAAAATTTATTGAGCATGTATCATGCACAAAACATTGTGTTATTTGCTGCAATACAAAATGCTGAAGGTTCCCACCCTTATTATCTGAAGTGAATGAGAGATGGGGGGAATAGCAATATGATTTTCTTAGAAATATTGAAAAGACAGTTAGGCTGGGCTCATTCATCCTTTACTTGTCAAAAGAACCCCTTCAACTTCATCCAGCAAAATGAATGTGTCAATTTGCTAACGGACACACGGCCATCTTTATGCAAAGTGTGACTCTCCACGGTGAGCCAGGGCCAGCCTCTGCCTCCTCCACCTGGGGTCCTCGCCCTGGCCGGCAGGAGGGGAAGTCACTGAGACTGGACCTCCCAAATGCCCATCCATCCCTCTAGTCAATAGTGGTCCTTCCTCCCTCACGGACATTTTCCTTGAAGTACCCATGAATTTGAGGACATTATATCCCCACGAAATACGCATGGTGGGATTTAAGTATAAATACTTGAGAGTTTTAACTGGAGCTTGGCAAGCCTGGCATTTGCAGAGATGACTGTTGGCATATGTAAAGTTTCTACAAATCACCGAAAAATCGGCAGAAGCAGCATGAAGCAGAAGGACACACAGGGTGGTCTGTGTGACTCCCCATTCTCAGCCTCTGCTGACGTCTGCAAGGCAGGAATCCCAGTCTCCTCCGCATCCTAAAACCCCAGCAAGAAGCAAAGGGACATTTGGGGAGAGGAGAAGCTGTTTGTGACGCCAAAACGGGCATCCAAATGGAGCCCAGTTCCTGGGTCCCCCTGGCCGGAGCTGTAAGGATCTTGGGGGGAAGGGGGTTGTTACGCGTGACTTGACTCAGGGACCTAGGAGCTTCCTGGGTTAGATTCACTGCCCTGTGTCTATCTGGCTCTTACTCCGACCCAGTCATCCATCACGGAAAGTCAGTGTGAAGGCATGGGGCAGAAAAATCAGGAAAGAGACAAGCTTGATCTTTGGCACAGCCACCGTGCCTTCTCCCCGCCCCTCGTGCCCTCCCACCCCAAACTCCCAGAGTCTCCATGCTCTCTGCTCTGGCCCTTTTCTCACGAAAGGATCAGATTAAACGTTTACATTACTGTGCACATATTTCTCTTAGAATCTCCAGCCCTCGACTTAGTTGATAGATCCCCGGGGATCTATGAGGGCGGTTAACCGCACTAGGAGTCGGCGCTACTGTCCCTGTACAGCCGGCCCAGGGGACAGGGGCTCACGGAGTCTTGCCAAGCGCCGGACTTCTGCCCCCACCCCCATAAACACTGTGTGGGGCCCTGAGGGCTCCTAGGAAGCATCAAATTCAATTCCCCGACCCAGATCCCCGAGTCGGGAGGGAGCTAGGGTCTCAGCCCGCGTCTCTCCCGCGACCTCCTACTTCCCACCATCAGGAGGAGGCCAAGAATCCAGGGGACAGGTCCGTCCGACTCCAGCAGATCTGTGTGTCCAGGAGACAAATGGACTAAGAGGATCACACCCACCACAAGCCAACAGACGCCTCGGCGCCTCCGGACCCAGGTTCGCCCCTCCTGCTGCGCGTCCGGGTCTGTTCTCCCCGCGCTCCTTGCCCGCCTCCTGCACGGGAACCTGTGCTCTCCGCGGGGCACCTGTCAGCCGTGCGGGGTCCCCGCAGAGCTAACGCCCGGCAGGCGGCCCGCCCTGAAGACCGGGCACTGACCCCGGAGCGGAGACGTGCATTCGGAGCAGGAGCCCGCGCCCTCGGTCGTCCGGCTGAGACACGGGGCGTGAGGAGATGCCATCTCCCGTGCCCCCACCCCTGGCGAGATCGGCTGGGAGTGGTTTCGGAGGCTAAGCCGCGACAGAAGGCTCAAAGAGCAGCAAGCAGTTCAGCAGCTGCCCCGCTCCGGCCCCGCCCTCCCAGGGCTGACCCTGCGCCCCGGTCCCCGCGTGTCCCCGGAGCTCCGCGTCGCAAGGCCGTCCCGGAGGTGGTCCCCAGCTCGCGGGCGGCGCCGGCGGGGGCGGCAGGTGGGCCGGGCTCCGCTCGAGTACACCGTGTTTACCTGGCTCGCAGGAAGCCCGGGGGCGGGGGAGGGGCGGGGGAGGGGAGGCGGGGTGCGCGCCGCCCCGGGAGCAGCCGCCGTCAGTCACCGCCGCCGCGCGCAGCGAGGACGAGCCTCCGGCCCTGGCGGCCCGCGTCTTCGACCCCGGAAGGCGGCGCCGGCGGCCCCGGGGCCCCGCGCTGCGCACGCTTGGGGCCGGAGCGGCGGAGAGGCGGCCTGGGAGCAGCGAGCGCAGCGCGGTGGGTGATCCTCGCCGGCGGCGGGGGGCGGCCCGGCGCTTGGTCTCCGCGCCCTCGGAGCAGGGCACGGCGGGGACCCGGGCAGGACCCGGAGCCGGGGGCGCGGGGCTGGAGGGGGCCGACGCCGGGGTTCCGTCCCCGCGCCGGACTCGGGGCCCTCGCCGGGCTCCCCGGGGCAGCGGCGCAGGTGTCAGGTCAGGTAGCAGCTCGGTGGCCTCCCTGCGAGGGGGTGGGAGCAGGTGTAGACGCTGGTCTACGGCGGCGGGGCTGGAATCCGACGGGTTTCCAGGTGTGGTCTCTGGCCAGGCCGGGTGGCTGGGGTCGCGGGAAGAGCGCGCGTTCCTAGGGGTGGGGTGGGGCTGGGGTTTCGGGGTGGGAGGTGACAAAGGTCGCAAGGCCGCTCTGGCTGGGCGGAGTCGGGTGCTGTAGGCGAGCTGACGGGCGGGCTGAGGGTGCCCCCCGGAGTGAAGTGCTTCCTGATTCCACACCTGGAGCCCAGGGGACGACCCCGCCTCCCCCACGCCAGACGAAGCACAATTTCCCTTTGAGCGACCAGGGCGGCGACAGGCGACGCGCCTGGCTTCCGCCTTGGCAGGGCCTGTCCCGCTGGGGCCACGCCGCCTGCAGCCACCTGCGCCACCTGTAACCCACCTGGGCCCACATGCGCCCCTGGTGCGTGACCCCCTCCTGGGCCCCCACGCACTGAGTTGGTTCCCGAGGGTGTCGCGTGTTCTCCTGTCACTCCGCTGACGCCCAGGTGGCTCTAGGTCCTGGGGGTCGCGGGTGGTCAGTGCCTCGTTTCTTTTAGGGTCTACTTTCGCCCCCTGTTTCGGAAGGGGAGTGTGGTTTGGAAAAATGTTTCCGTTTCTTTGGGGACCTCAGTAAGACTCTGGCAGGAAATAGGCGCATTCTGGTTCCTGATTCTCTGTTTTCCTCTTGCGACAACGTGAGAGTCAACAACACGTGCTCAGTTTATCTCTGCGTCCCTGGAAGGCACGTGAGAGCTGGCATGTGTGGGGAGGGCTGTAAATGTGGTTGAGAGGGGCCCCTGGCTGTTGTGGCAACGGACACCCACACCCAGCTAGAAAGAGAGTTTTTTCAGAGGAAGAGAACTCCGGGGTGCATCCTATTTAAGACCTGTGGGTTCTGGCGATGATTTTAGCCTGCCAAGCCCAGGGAGACACTTTACAGACTGTCACCCATGAGTCGGGGACCACCCTGAATCAGGCTCAATCCTGCAGCACAGGCCCAATGGCAGGCCACCCCTGCCAGGTGGGGGCCCTTTTAGACCATGGGGCCTGTGTACAGAGCTGGGGGGAGCCTGGAACCCAGCAGCCCTCAGTGAAGGATGGGCCAGGTGACCAGCAGGAAGGCGGGTAGCCTAATGGCTGTGCTTCTACCGGCCGAGGAAAAGTGCCGTCAGTGGTTTTATTTTTTCAAGTGGGATAAACAAAAACCTGAAGGGAGAGAATCCAGTTAAAAATTACTGTAAAATGTTGGTTAACCGTAACTCCCAAGGATTTAAATGTTGTGAAATGACTACTTTTATTAACTAGAGGTTAGACTAAAGTTATTTGGTTCAAATCCACTTTGAAAATCTTTCTAAAGTATCATGTTTTGGTCCAAAGATAAGACAGTTTAAGACGTGTTACGTGTTCTGTGTTTCGACGTTGAATTGCTCCTTCGCGGTTTTGACCGTCGGGTCTCGTGTCTGGCCCAAGACGGCAATGACTGCAATGATTGAACGTGTCTGCCGAAAGCTGGAAAAGAGTAGAGACCCAGCTTTCTTAGAATTTTCCTATTTCTGCCTGAATTTTAAAATGTTAATTGAAGGTTATTTTGTTTGATTTTTAGTTTCTCTCTAGACTCTTTAAAAATTTGACACAAGATTGACAACCGCCTCTGTAGCTTTTCTATCCAAGTATCCAGGTAGCATTTATTGGCCACTTACAAATTGCCAAGCTCTCTTGTGAGAGCTGTGTATCACCTCATTAAGGTCGTGACTCCCCTAGGACACCCTCATTTGATAGAACTGCCCTACTAATACCCTCGTTTTTACTGACGAGGAAACCAAGGCACAGAGATGCCCCAGGGGTGCACAGGATTCAGTTCCAGGAGTCTGCTGCCAGCCCCCAGGTGCAGCCCTGCCCAGCCTTGGTGAGCAGGACACCTTGCAGACTTATAGAGCTGCCTTCCATTTCTCTTTCCTTGTAAAATTCCACCGCTAATGAGTGACCACGCCCAACAAAATCGGTTTCTTCTTCAGAATGGTTTGACTCTAAGGGTGCTGTCATGGGTCTGTTAGTCATCCTCCCCTTAACATCCTTAGCTGTCAATAAAGGACAAAAGAAAGTATTGTAGTTACTTAGTATAATTTTTAATAAGTGGACATTAAGCAGGAAGGCACTCCTATTGGTCCATTAGAGACACTGCAGGAAGCTTAAATAGGCCTGAATATGGGGGCTTTGGGAACTGGGTTTACCGCAACAGTAAATATACGGGGAGACCTTGATGCTCCCGCTAAACAGAGACGCTGGGTGAACAGCTGGTCCGTTCTCCTGAGCAGATTTCATATCTCCATCTAGTTCTATCGTGGTAAGGCTTCAACCAGAGAAATGGAACCGGTAGGAGGTACGTATTAGCAACTACTGCAAGGAATTGGGGCTGGCGAGGCAGGTCTGACATCCGCAGGACAGGAGCACAGAAAGGAGGGTGGAAGTCTCAGGCGGGAGCTGAAGCTGCCGTCCGAGGGGACTCTCCCTCACCTTGCAACCAGGGACAACTCACATGCTGTTAGGAACGTCTCAGACTCAAGAAGTGTTAAAAGTTCAAAATGTGACTCTGAGCATTATTTTGTCCTGGACTCTGTGAACACACTGAGTAGGTGTAAGGCTCTGTTATGAAAAATAGGTGGATGCCTAGATGATGAGGTTAAACAGGCTTAGGTGAGGTAGCTGGAATATGTAAAAGATTCTAAAATCCAGTAGTATAAAACACGCCACCCAACAGAAGAAGATGTGCGTGAATAGGCTGGTCTAGAAGAGAGAACCCAGGGGGGCGAATACAATATCAAAATCAGGGAACTGAAAGTCGCACCAGCAATGGGATGGTTTTTCATATCCATAATACTGGTAAAAATTTTAAAATTCTGACTTTACCAAGTATTGGGGGAAATGTAGAGAAGAGATAATTCACATTATTGTGAGTAGGAGTTTAAATAGGAACAGACACTTTAGAGAATAATCTAGAAAAGCTGAAGATGGCTATACCCTGTGACCTGGCAGTTCGGCTCCTGAGCATGTCCTCTGGGGAGAATCTAATCTGTGGGCATAAGGCACATATGAAGGGTGCTCCCAGAAGCAATTTTTAAAAACTTTATTTTGAGATAATTGTAGCTTCACATGCAATTTGTAAGAAATAACACAGGGAGATCCATATACTGTTCATAACATCTTGCAGAACTGTAGTACAATATCACAACCAGGAAATTAACATTGATACAATCCATCCACCTTATTGATTTCAGATTTCACCAGTTTATATGCTCTCATGTGTGAGTGTGTGTGTGTGTGTGTGTGTGTGTGTGTGTAGTTCTGTGTCATTTTATCATGTGTAGAATCGTGTGACCCCTGACAGCCAGGTAGGACAGATTCATCACAGGATCCCTCCTGCTGCCCTTTAGAGGCACAGCCAACTTCCCCCTTTCCCACCCCTGAGCCCTTGGCAACCACTAGTCTGTTCCCCATTTTCTACAATTTCATCATTTCCAGAGTGCTATATAAATGGAATCATACAGTATGCAACCTTTCTTGATTGGCTTTTTTCACTACACACTGTTCTCTGCAGATCTATCTGAGTGGCTAAGTATGTCTACAGCTCATTCTTTTTTATGTCTGAGTAATATTCCATGGTATGGACGGACCACCATGGTTATTTGGTTTTAACCATTTGCTCTTCGAGAGGTACTTGGATCGTTGCCGGTTTGGGGCTGTTGTGAGGAAAGCTGCTATGAACATCCACGTACAGGTGTTTGCGTGGACAATTTTCATTCCTCTGGACTAAAGGTCCAAGAGTGCAATTGCCAGGTCATATGGTAGGCACAGGTTTAATTTTCTAAGAAACTGCCATATGCTCTCAGAATGGCTGCACCATTTCACGTCCCGCAAGCAAGGCGTGAGTGATCCAGGACCTCCACAGCCGCGACATCATTTGGCATTGACACTGCTTTTAGTTTAGCTGTTTTAACGGGTGTGCCATGATAGTGCATCATCATTTTAATTTGCATTTCCCTCGTGGATCATGATGCCAGAGATCTTCTCATATGTGAATCCACCATCTGCATACCTCTCAGTGGACAATCTGTTCGTGTCTTTTGCTCATTTCCAATTGGACGGCTTGGTCTCGATGGTTCTTTCTCTCTGCTGGATGCCAGTCCTTGTGGTTTGCTGTTCTCTTCCGGCAGCTTAGCGTGTCTCTTCATCCTCTCCACAGTCTTCGGCAGAGAGAAAGTTTCTCGTTTCGTTGAGACCCAGTTTATTAATTTTTCCTTTTATAGATTGTGATTCTCTTGTGAAGTGTAAGAACTCTTGGCCTAGCCTGAGATCCTGAAGATTTTTTCCTATTTTTTTCCTACAAGTTTGATCATTTTATTTTTTCTCTTGAGTCTGTTGTCCATTTTGACTCAATTTTTGTATAGGGTGTGAGGTTTAGGTTGAGGGTTTTTTGTTTTGTTTTGTTTTTGTTCTTGCCTAGGAGCGTCTGGTTGCTCTAGGGCTGTCTGTTGAAAACATGATCCTTCCTCCATCAAATTGTTTTTGCGCCTTTGTCAAAAATCATTTCCACATATTTGTGTGTCTATTTCTGGGTTCTCCATTCTATTCCATGATGTGGGTTTCTGTCCCTCCACCAGGACCTCTGTCTTCATTACTGTAGCCACAGAGTAAACCTTTACACCAGGTAGCGCAAGTCCTCCACTCTGTTCTTCCTTATCAAAATTGTGT